CCCAGTAATGTCTGAGTGTATAACAGAGCTCCACAGCAACAATACTCCCAGTAATGTGACTGAATGTATAACAGAGCTCCACAGCAATAATACTCCCAGTAATGTCTGAGTGTATAACAGAGCTCCACAGCAATAATACTCCCAGTAATGTGTCTGAGTGTATAACAGAGCTCCACAGCAATAATACTCCCAGTAATGTGTCTGAGTGTATAACAGAGCTCCACAGCAATAATACTCCCAGTAATGTGTGTGTGTGTATAACAGAGCTCCACAGCAATAATACTCCCAGTAATGTGTCTGAGTGTATAACAGAGCTCCACAGCAATAATACTCCCAGTAATGGGTCTCAGTATAACAGAGTCCGCAGAGCAATGGACATCCTAGCAATGTGTCTGAGTGTATAACAGAGTTCAAGAGCAATAATAATTCCCAGTAATGTGTCTGAGTGTATAACAGAGTCTCAAGAGTAATAATACCCCAAATGTCCGGAGTGTATAACAGAGCTCCACAGCAATAATACTCCCAGTAATGTGTCTGAGTGTATAACAGATCTCCACAGCAATAATACTCCCAGTAATGTGTCTGAGTGTATCACAGAGCCCACAGCAATAATACTCCCAGTAATGTGTCTGAGGGTATAACAGAGCTCCACAGCAATAATACTCCCAGTAATGTGTCTGAGTGTATAACAGAGCTCCACAGCAATAATACTCCCAGTAATGTGTCTGAGTGTATAACAGAGCTCCACAGCAATAATACTCCCAGTAATGTGTCTCAGTGTATAACAGAGCTCCACAGCAATAATACTCCCAGTAATGTGTCTGACTGTATAACAGAGCTCCACAGCAATAATACTCCCAGTAATGTGTCTGAGTGTATAACAGAGCTCCACAGCAATAATACTCCCAGTAATGTGTCTGAGTGTATACCAGAGCTCCACAGCAATAATACTCCCAGTAATGTGTCTGAGTGTATACCAGAGCTCCACAGCAATAATACTCCCAGTAATGTGTCTGAGTGTATAACAGAGCTCCACAGTAATAATACTCCCAGTAATGTGTCTGAGTGTATAACAGAGCTCCACAGCAATAATACTCCCAGTAATGTGACTGAGTGTATAACAGAGCCCGACAGTAATAATACTCCCAGTAATGTGTCTGAGTGTATAACAGAGCTCCACAGCAATAATACTCCCAGTAATGTGACTGAGTGTATAACAGAGCTCCACAGCAATAATACTCCCAGTAATGTGTCTGGGTGTATAACAGAGCTCCACAGCAATAATACTCCCAGTAATGTGTCTGAGTGTATCACAGAGCTCCACAGCAATAATACTCCCAGTAATGTGTCTGAGTGTATAACAGAGCTCCACAGCAATAATACTCCCAGTAATGTGTCTTGAGTGTATAACAGAGCTCCACAGCAATAATACTCCCAGTAATGTGTCTGAGTGTATAACAGAGCTCCACAGCAATAATACTCCCAGTAATGTGTCTGAGTGTATAACGGAGCTCCACGGCAATAATACTCCCAGTAATGTGTCTGAGTGTATAACAGAGCTCCGCAGTAATAATACTCCCAGTAATGTGACTGAGTGTATAACAGAGCTCCGCAGCAATAACACTCCCAGTAATGTGACTGAGTGTATAACAGAGCTCCACAGCAATAATACTCCCAGTAATGTGTCTTTAAACTACTATCAATGTTTTAGAAATCAGTCTGTAAATAAGATTGTTCGTCTAAATTGTATTAAAGGACCACTATAGCTCAATGAAGTGGTCTGGGTGCCAGGTCCATGTAGGGTTAACCCTGCACCTGTAAACATAGCATAGAGAAAGTGCTATGTTTACCTATGGGTTAATCCAGCCTCTAGTCGCTGTCTCATTGATGCCAGCGTCCATATGAACGCATTGAGTAATGCTTTCCTATTGACTGGCTGAATGCGTGTGTGGCTCTTGCCGCGCATGCGCATTCAGCCAATAACGACCGAAGGAGGAGGAGAGTCCCCAGCACCGAGTGTTTAACCCCCTTCCTCCCCCTTCAGCCCGGCGGGTGGGGGCACCCTCAGGGCACTATAGTGCCAGGAAAACGAGTTTGTCACTATATGGTCCTTTAATTGTTATTACTAAGTCAGAACAGCCCCGCCCCTGGCCACACCCCCAACTTCACCATTAAAATTAAAGGGTCCCTCTTTGTTCATGTGAAATATTGGGAGGTTTTTATGTGTCACTGTAGCGGAGCGCTAGTTTAACATGCTGGTATTCCAATAGTTACTCAGGAACAAGATATCATAGGAAGTAATCCCAGAATATCCCATCACCTTTCCCAATAACTGGACGACACTCAGTATCAGGAGCAGAACTGATCTTTAATGCCACATACTCAGCTTTTATGCAATCCTCCCATGACAAGGGAGACACCCACAGAAAATTAGGAATTATCCAGTCACTAGCTGGTTACAGTACACAGGTTTCCTCCCCTCAGCCTGAGAGGTAACTTAATTATCTGTACAGTTTAAACACACATTTTAACCCAATTCTTAGATGTACCCCAAAACTATAACCTTCACCCATAAATTATACATCCCTGGATATCCCTGATCTGGGTGAATAACATATGCAAAAATCACCCAGATCAGAGCAGGGGATCAAAAGTTTTGTGGAAGTAACATTTTACCGACCGCACGCACATTTTCATGCCCAAAACCATTCCAGAGAATTAGGCTGTGCAGCCGGTCTATTTCTAATATTAACTTCAGTTCAAATAGACGAACGGCAACCGTTCATGCAAACCGTCATTGTTAAAGTGCCGTTCGACTCCATTCGAAGTGTTGAAGTCTGGAGAAGGTAAAGTTCAGCGGTGTTCGTGCCGTTGCGTATCCGATTTGAGTTCCATGAACTCGACGACCAACGACCGCTGAATGCGTTCGACTGAATTAAAATGGCTGTCGCCACGTGTTCATATGTCGAATGGCGGCCACTTCAACTACTTGGGATTTAAAGGGGCAGAAATAGTGTAAAATACTGCAACAATTAAGGGTAGGGACAGCCAACAATACAAAAGTGATGAGTAGCAAAACACAGTCCGCTACTCTCGTTACCCTCATTCTCTGTAACTGAACCCCTTTTTATCTTGTTACCCTCATTCTCTGTGACTGAACCCCTTTTTATCTTGTTACCCTCATTCTCTGTAACTGAACCCATTTTTCTCTTGTTAACCCTCATTCTCTGTGACTGAACCCCTTTTTATCTTGTTACCCCATTCTCTGTGACTGAACCCCTTTTTTCTCTTGTTAACCCTCATTCTCTGCAACTGAACCCCTTTTCATCTTGTTACCCCTATTCTCTGTAACTGAATCCCTTTTTATCTTGTTACCCCCATTCTCTGTGAGTGAACCCTTTTTTATCTTGTTACCCTAATTCTCTGCAACTGAACCCCATTTTATCTTGTTACCCCCATTCTCTGTAACTGAACCCCTTTTTATCTTGTTACCCCCATTCTCTATAACTGAACCCCTTTTTATCTTGTTACCCCCATTCTCTGTAACTGAACCCCTTTTTCTCTTGTTAACCCTCATTCTCTGTGACTGAACCCCTTTTTATCTTGTTACCCCCATTCTCTGTAACTGAACCCTTTTTTCTCTTGTTAACCCTCATTCTCTGTGAGTGAACCCATTTTTATCTTGTTAACCCCATTCTCTGTGAGTGAACCCATTTTTATCTTGTTACCCCCATTCTCTGTGAGTGAACCCCTTTTTATCTTGTTACCCCCATTCTCTGTGAGTGAACCCCTTTTTATCTTGTTATCCCCATGCTCTGTGAGTGAACCCCTTATCTTGTTACCCCCATTCTCTGTAACTGAACCCCTTTTTATCTTGTTACCCCCATTCTCTGTAACTGAACCCCTTCTTATCTTGTTACCCTCATTCTCTGTGACTGAACCCATTTTTATCTTGTTAACTCCATTCTCTGTAACTGAACCCCATTTTATCTTGTTACCCCCATTCTCTGTAACTGAACCCCTTCTTATCTTGTTACCCTCATTCTCTGTGACTGAACCCCTTTTTCTCTTGTTAACCCTCATTCTCTGTGAGTGAACCCCTTTTTATCTTGCTACTCCCATTCTCTGTAACTGAACCCCTTTTTATCTTGTTACCCCCATTCTCTGTGAGTGAACCCATTTTTATCTTGTTACCCCCATTCTCTGTAACTGAACCCCTTTTTATCATGTTACCTCCATTCTCTGTGAGTGAACCCCTTTTTATCTTGTTAGCCCCATGCTATGTGAGTGAACCCCTTATCCTGTTATCCCCATTCTCTGTGAGTGAACCCCCTTTTCTCTTGTTAACCCTCATTATCTGAAACTGAACCCCTTTTTATCTTGTTACCCCCATTCTCTGTAATTGAACCCCTTCTTATCTTGTTAACCCATTCTCTGTAACTGAACCCAGTTTTATCTTGTTACCCCCATTCTCTGTGATTGAACCCCTTTTTCTCTTGTTAACCCTCATTCTCTGTGAGTGAACCCTTTTTTATCTTGTTACCCCCATTCTCTGCAACTGAACCCCTTTTTATCTTGTTACCCCCATTCTCTGTAACTGAACCCCTTTTTATCTTGTTACCCCCATTCTCTGTGAGTGAAGCCCTTTTTATCTTGTTACCCCCATTCTCTGTAACTGAACCCCTTTTTATCTTGTTACCCCCATTCTCTGTGAGTGAAGCCCTTTTTATCTTGTTACCCCCATTCTCTGTAACTGAACCCCTTTTTATCTTGTTACCCCCATTCTCTGTGAGTGAACCCCTTTTTATCTTGTTACCCCCATTCGCTGTGAGTGAACCCCTTTTTATCTTGTTACCCCCATTATCTGTGAGTGAACCTCTTTTTCCATTCCTTACCTTCCTCAGTCAGTTTGATAAAGTGTGTAATTTTTTCATATTCTGCCAGTTCCTGTAATTACATAAAATAGATAAAGTGATTATACATTGCACTGTGTACCGAAAGTCACTGCATAGTGCACATAATGCAGTAAGGAGTAAAGTGTGTGAGGGTGTCAGTGTGCAGTGTGTGACAGTGTCAGTGTGCAGTGTACGCAGTGTGTGACAGTGTCAGTGTGCAGTATACGCAGTGTGTGACAGTGTCAGTGTGCAGTGTACACAGTGTGTGACAGTGTCAGTGTGCAGTGTACGCAGTGTGTGACAGTGTCAGTGTGCAGTGTACGCAGTGTGTGACAGTGTCAGTGTACGCAGTGTGTGACAGTGTCAGTGTGCAGTATACGCAGTGTGTGATGGTGTCAGTGTGCAGTGTACGCAGTGTGTGACAGTGTCAGTGTGCAGTGTACGCAGTGTGTGACAGTGTCAGTGTACGCAGTGTGTGACAGTGTCAGTGTGCAGTATACGCAGTGTGTGACAGTGTCAGTGTGAAGTGTGCGCAGTGTGTGACAGTGTCAATGTGCAGTGTACGCAGTGTGTGACGGTGTCAGTGTGCAGTGTACGCAGTGTGTGATGGTGTCAGTGTGCAGTGTACACAGTGTGTGACAGTGTCAGTGTGCAGTGTACGCAGTGTGTGACAGTGTCAGTGTACGCAGTGTGTGACAGTGTCAGTGTGCAGTATACGCAGTGTGTGACAGTGTCAGTGTGCAGTGTACGCAGTATGTGATGGTGTCAGTGTGAAGTGTACGCAGTGTGTGATGGTGTCAGTGTGCAGTGTATGCAGTGTGTGACAGTGTCAGTGTGCAGTATACGCAGTGTGTGACAGTGTCAGTGTGCAGTGTACGCAGTTGGTGACGGTGTCAGTGTATGCAGTGTGTGACAGTGTCAGTGTGCAGTGTACGCAGTGTGTGACGGTGTCAGTGTGCAGTGTACGCAGTGTGTGATGGTGTCAGTGTGCAGTGTACGCAGTGTGTGACGGTGTCAGTGTGCAGTGTATGCAGTGTGTGACTGTGTCAGTGTGCAGTGTACGCAGTGTGTGACAGTGTCAGTGTGCAGTGTACGCAGTGTGTGACAGTGTCAGTGTGCAGTGTACGCAGTGTGTGACAGTGTCAGTGTGCAGTGTACGCAGTGTGTGATAGTGTCACTGTACCCGGATCATGACCATAATGTTGGGGGAGTCCCTGGGCTCAGCTGGTCGGATGTGATAATCCATTCCTGAGAGAGTTATAGGAAGAGTCTCTGCTACAGACACAATGTGACTGAAATGCTTCCTTTATCTCTCACTCATCCCTCCCTCCCAGGGCCATTTATCCCTCCCCCGAAGCTGTCTCCTCCCCGCCATAGTCAGCATTCTGTAACACAGCCAGCTCGCACTTCCATTTACAGTGTATCTGCCCCCCAGACTATTCCATGTATCGAATACCGTTTTTATATCACTGTTACTGCTCCCACTGGAAAGCTATTCCAGGTATCTACTACCCTTTCTATATCACTGTTACTGCTCCCACTGGAAGGCTATTCCTGGTATCTACTACCCTTTCTATATCACTGTTACTGCTCCCCCTGGAAGGCTATTCCTGGTATCTACTACCCTTTCTATATCACTGTTACTGCTCCCACTGGAAGGCTATTCCAGGTATCTACTACTCTTTCTATATCGCTGTTACTGCTCCCACTGGAAGGCTATTCCAGGTATCTACTACCCTTTCTATATCGCTGTTACTGCTCCCACTGGAAGGCTATTCCAGGTATCTACTACCCTTTCTATATCGCTGTAACTGCTCCCACTGGAAGGCTATTCCAGGTATCTACTACCCTTTCTATATCACTGTTACTGCTCCAACTGGAAGGCTATTCCAGGTATCTACTACCCTTTCTATATCACTGTTACTGCTCCCACTGGAAGGCTATTCCAGGTATCTACTACCCTTTCTATATCACTGTTACTGCTCCCACTGGAAGACTATCCCAGGTATCTACTACCATTTCTATATCACTGTTACTGCTCCCACTGGAAGGCTATTCCAGGTACCTACTACCCTTTCTATATCACTGTTACTGCTCCCACTGGAAGGCTATTCCATGTATCTACTACCCTTTCTATATCACTGTTACTGCTTCAACTGGAAGGCTATTCCAGGTATCTACTACCCTTTCTATATCACTGTTACTGCTCCCACTGGAAGGCTATTCCAGGTATCTACTACCCTTTCTATATCACTGTTACTGCTCCCATTGGAAGGCTATTCCGGTATCTACTACCCTTTCTATATCACCGTTACTGCTCCCACTGGAAGGCTATTCCGGGTATCTACTACCCTTTCTATATCACCGTTACTGCTCCCACTGGAAGGCTATTCCAGGTATCTACTACCCTTTCTATATCACTGTTACTGCTCCCACTGGAAGGCTATTACAGGTATCTACTACCCTTTCTATATCACTGTTACTGCTCCCACTGGAAGGCTATTCCAGGTATCTACTACCCTTTCTATATCACTGTTACTGCTCCCACTGGAAGGCTATTTCAGGTATCTACTACCCTTCCTATATCACTGTTACTGCTCCCACTGGAAGGCTATTCCAGGTATCTACTACCCTTTCTATATCCCTGTTACTGCTCCCACTGGAAGGCTATTCCAGGTATCTACTACCCTTTCTATATCACTGTTACTGCTCCCACTGGAAGGCTATTCCAGGTATCTACTACCCTTTCTATATCGCTGTTACTGCTCCCACTG